CGTCCTGGTAGGTTGTAAACCTACAACTTTCGTACATCGGCAAAATGCACCACTGGGTCCCGCCAAGCTAGAAAGGCTTGACATCGTCAATCAAATAATTATGCTGTACGGAAATAGCTTTAATTCTACGTTATATTAAAAACTTTACATCATTTTTGAGATACAAAAATAAATTTTAAAATAAATAACTCTTTTGCTGCTTAGGTTTCTCAAACCAGAGCTTTCTCGCTTGCAGTAGCGCCCAACCTACTTGTGAAACAAGCGCGTCTCACAGTATGCGTAGACACATGGCTATGTGAAATGCTTAGGCGCGGCACCGCGCTTGACCCACATGCTATATAATACAGCGTCTAGCAACACAGCGCTGAAAACAAAAAAATGAAAAAGCTTTACCTGTTGGAGGACTTCGCCGCTTCGACGCGCCGCGCAAACTAGCATTCTTGCTTTGCAGAGCAACGATCTTGATTAATTGACGATGTCAATTCATGGCAGATCGGCGCGGCACAGCTCAGTAGTGCATTTCGCCGATCTAGCCAGTGTCGCTGTGAGAAGCCTCATTGAGTACGCGGCGCGGCACAGTAACGCATCGCGCTACAACGATCTCGACGGATTGAAATCGTCATATAATCAACTTTACCTGGGGACCTCAGGCTATCATGTTCATAAACAACGAGATTCGGCGGAATGACAGGCTGAGCTTGGCCCAGTAAGAAGAAGCTATAATATATAAGCGGTGCGCCGCGCTTAAACCTAAAACCATAAACTTTAAATATTGTTAAGATATTAAACGAGTTTTTCGAGACTTCGTAGGATATTAAAATTATACCCGTGCCAGTTCCAAATGTGAGTCAGCGCTTAAACTTGACCATTTTTAATGGTCTGGCCCGGCGCGCGAGAAGAAAGCAGCGCGCATTACTTCGAAGAAATTTAGACGGGTAACATCAGTCAACGCTTAAACCAAAACACAAAAGCAGTTGGCAAAAGGAGCCAATTGCCTGCAAAAGCTTTACTAGCACCCGATTTACCACTTTTGAAGCACAAACTCAAACCTAAAACCGGCCAAGCACAAAAATTTGTTATCGCCACAATTGGGTTGATTGATTTCTAGTTATTTATCAGCACGCGGCACTAATAATATAAAGTTCATTATTGAATTTCATATAGGCCATGGATCGTTTAACACATATAAAAAGGTTATTAGAGAATAACTTGTAGCGCGATGCACTACTGGGCCGCGCCGCGCATATTCTCGCAACCACAGATCGGCGAGATGCACCACTGGGCCTTGCCGAGCTAGGAAGGATTGACATTATGAATCAAAAGAATAACTAATGCTGTTTGTAATCGATATTAATCAATTATTTAAAATAGTATTTGTGTTTGTTATTATTAACTATTGAGTTACGTTTAATTAAAATATTTAAACACTTGCTCTAACCAGAGCCCTCTCGCTTGCAGTAGCGCGCGACCGCCGAAGGCAGTACGCGTATACACATGGCTATATGAATTTAAACACGACTACATTTCACAAAACAAAACGACGGGGACGCAGAAAGGATAAGGACAGTACACATTATTACGGACGGACATTATATACGGACGGAAGCTGCTACTGAGTTGACGAGTATCTGATTGTTTTGATTATGGGTTTCTTGTTCATTAAAATAAGTGTGATCATACTTGTAGAGTATATTAATAATAAAACAAATATTTATTTTTACGGCACAATCAAACAATATCAATAATAAATAAATCAGGGGAGGCCGAGGTTTGAAGATGTTTGAAGTGCCGAAGGCCACTGCTTATCTTTAGGATTTGAGAGTGACCTGTGCTTGAAACCCCCTCAACCATCCACTACGTCAATATACTTATTATACAAATATAGAAAAATATAATTATCTAAAATTGCTTATTGGTCTAGTTTGGTGACACAGGAGAGCCCATTTGAGTTTTAGTTTCGGTTTTGGTTTTAAATCATATTTTAAAAGGTTAGCCATGTTTCATGGCAGAGAGAGATATCATGTGTGCAGAGCCGTACTGGATGTAGAATTTGAGATATAATATAGATTAGTTACCATGTATTAGGGTCACCAACTCCAACTCGTTCAGAATGCAGCTGCTAAAGCTATAGTAGGACTATATAAATATGATCATCTAGGAGACACTCTGAAAGACCTTCATTGGCTGCCTATTAGTTACAGAATTCAATAGAAGTTATTGCTTCTCGTCTATAAATGTATTAATGGTATGGGACCAGATTATTTAAGTAACATGTTTAAATATGCCAATTATAATCATCTTATCTATTTGACTGAACCTAGAGTATATTCACAGTATGGAGAAAGATCGTTTCAGAAAGTTGGCCCTAAATTATGGAATGAGCTGCCTCTTGAAATTAAGAACTGCATGTCACTGGAATCTTTTAAAGTGCAAAAATGAAACCATTCCTCTCTGAAACTCAAATGCAAATCATCGTGCAATCTCTTATCATCAGTTCCCTTGACTACTGTAATGCACTTTACTTTGGAGCTAATCATTCTGTTTTGAAACAGCTACAATCTCTGCTAAACAGAGCATGCCGCTTAGTCAAAGGTCTAAAGAAGAGAGAAGAAGTTGATCCCTACATAAAAGAACTTCATTGGCTCAAGGTACAAGAACGTATTGAATTTAAAATACTCCTGTTAACTTTCAAACTGCTCCATGGGCTAGCACCTTCATACCTGTCAAACCTTGTTAAGTACAATTCCAGTGGTGGAAGAGATGGATCTCTTCATTGCCCCATAAACAGTCCACCCAGAGCCTTCTCATTATCTGCTCCAAGATTATGGAACAATCTTCCTCAAGAAATCACGAAATGTGTAAACATCAAGGACTTTAAGGGAAAACTTAAAGCTCACCTGTTTAGAAAGTCCTTTGATTTGTACTGAGTAACTAATCCTTTATTGAAGGTTAAAATTTAATTAAAATGTTTATTGTTTATCTTATAGCAGGTCAATTTCACGCTTTAAATTAAATTATTTTAGGCCATTAGTTTTCAAGGAGTTTTGGGCAACATTTAAGACAATAATCTTTTTTTTGCGTTTCACTGTGTCTGCCAACAAAATTGTAGTGCAGGTCGGAAAAGGAGGCTCTATCCTGGGACACCAACATTTTTTGGGTTGGCACCCGGGAGAAAGCTACCTTATTCTTTGTATTTTGTCTCAAGTACTAGAGCATCTTTTTCTTCTCTTTTTTACTGTCTCTACTTTTATGTTGCCCAGATTGTTTGGTATGACTGTATTGGATTTTCAGATATAATCTTTATCATCAGTTACTGTTCTGCAGTAAACTTCTTCAATCAATTTTTATAGTATATTGGAAACTTCAGATTGTTTGTATATTTGGAGTCTATAGAATTTCTATGGATTTTTTAAGGAATTTTTATTGAGTTTTTATAGAATTTTTAATATATCAGGGAATTTCATTTTTATAAACCTGATTTTTAAATTTGTTAGGCTGTTAAGTTTCATACTGCGATTTCTTGTAGTCATTATCCTTTCCTCTAGTCCTCTGTTAGAAAACCTGCTAACCCTTCTTGGATATCTGCTTGTTAGGTACATCTGCCTTACTTACTCACGTTATATTTTACAGTTTTTATCGCCTGTTTTCTGAACAGTTTCTTGTTCCACCACCGTCTAAGGCAAAGATGCACACTCTCGTTAATTTAAGTATCATTTACAGCTGTGCATAAGGGTTAAATTTAAATTATTTAACCTTTTGGTGCTGTATAAAAATAACATTAATTTATTATTATTATTATTTATCTGAAAACGTTTCTTTTTAAACACAAGATTATTCTCAATTTTCTTGTTGTGTTCCACAACTATGATATTAATTAATTTACTATTTTTTCAACGTTTCTACTGTTAAGTGCATACCCTTAACCTTGTAATTTAGTGTATCAAGTCTTTACAATTTTCTATGGTTTGGAACCTAAATGTGGATTGCTTTTCAGGTTTTCTTGTACCCTGACTTGTTTTCGTGGCACACCTGTGCATTTTAAGTTGTTGTGCCACTATAATCTATAAGTTTAAATTATTATTATTTTTTATCTCGATTTTGAAGGGATAGCAAGTGCTTTTTAAGGTTAGATTTAATAATACCTGACGAGGCTGATAAGTCTGAATTTTTGGAAGAACCCGGGATTATTATCCATCTTCATTAGCATCACTTATTTTGAATACATAGGGGATGAGATCATTCCAAATTTTCGTAGAGGTGTACAAAAAGTTCTGTTGTTTTCTTGAAAAAATTTGTTGTCTTCTTGATTTATGATTAAGGGAACTTAAAATAAAACTTATTGTCTCATTGAAAACTTATTATTTCATTGAGTACTGAATACTTCTTTACAATAAAACTATTGTAGGATTGTCATGTCAGAGCATAGTAACATATCCCCAACTGCAGCTGAAGAAATGTGTTATCAGGACTTTGACAATTCAACTCAGATAAAACAGGAGTCTATAACTGATACTCAGTATTGTGACATTTCAACTCAAATAAAGTATGAGATAAAAACTGAGCAGAATTCTGACAATGTAGTTCAGATAAAACAGGACATTGAAACTGAGCAGGATTCAGATAATTTAACTACAATAAATCAGGCAGTTAAAACTGAGCAGGAAGAAAACTTGAACAGTTTAATTTGCCCGAAATGTGAAGCATATTTCCTCAATATTCATCGCTTTGTTAAACATATAAGAGCACACCATGAAAACAATATCAGTACAAATTTTAACTCTGATAAGTTAATGAGTGCTGAATCAGAAGAAATGTTTAATCATTCAAGAACAACAACAAATGTGGAAAAGCCTTTTCAATGTAATGTTTGCTCTTATTGTTGTTCGTGCAGATCCAAACTTTTTACACATCAACGTATCCACATGGGAGACAAACCTTGTAATGGAAGCTCATCATCTTTTGCTCAGAATTCTTCTATCACAAAACATAATTGTCTTCATATGGGAGAAAAACCCTTCAAGTGTAATGAATGCTCCTCATCTTTCTCTTATAAATCTGAACTCAGAGCACACCAGCGTGTACACACAGGAGAGAAACCGTTCAAGTGTAGTGAATGCTCCTCATCTTTCTCTCAGAAATCTCATCTCAGAACACACCAGCGTATCCACACAGGAGAGAAATCTTTCAAGTGTAATGAATGCTCTTTGTCTTTTTCTCAGAAATGTAGTCTCAGAGCACACCAGAGTATCCACACAGGAGAGAAACCGTTCAAGTGTAATGAATGCTCCTCATCTTTCTCTCAGAAATGTACACTCAGAAGACACCAGCGTGTACACACTGGAGAGAAATCCTTTAAGTGTAATGAATGCTCCTCATCTTTCTCTCAGAAATCTAATCTCAGAGCACACCAGCGTATTCATACAGGAGAGAAACCGTTCAAGTGTAGTGAATGCTCCTCATCTTTCTCTCGGAAATCTAATCTCGCAACACATCAGCGTATTCATACAGGAGAGAAACCGTTCAAGTGTAATGAATGCTCCTCATCCTTCTCTCAGAAATCTAATCTCAGAGCACACCAGCGTATTCATACAGGAGAGAAATCGTTCAAGTGTAGTGAATACTCCTCATCCTTCTCTCAGAAATCTAATCTCAGAGCACACCAGCGTATTCACACTGGAGAGAAACCGTTCAAGTGTAATGAATGCTCCTCATCTTTCTCTCGGAAATCTAATCTCGCAACACATCAGCGTATCCACACAGGAGAGAAACGGGAAAACCTTCAAGTGTAGTAAATGCACCTTAACTTTTTCTCAGAGTTCAAATCTAAAAACTCATCAATGTATTTACACATTGAATGATCCATTTATTTTTCATTTATTTATAATTAACCTAATCTACATTTTATGGCATTTCATTTATTATTTTTGATATTCATGCGTTTTCTTATTGAAAGTTATTTCATTTACCATGACGATTGATTATAAATTGTTGTTGAACAATAAAGGGTATCAATTTGAATTAATAATAAGATTGGCATTATTTATCATTTGTCTATGTGAGTACTGAATACTTCTAAACAATAAAACTATTGCAGGATTATCATGTCAGAGCAAAGTAACATAATATCCCCAACTGCAGCTGAAGAAATGTGTTATCAGGACTTTGACAATTCAACTCAGATAAAACAGGAGTCTATAACTGATGCTCAGTATTGTGACATTTCAACTCGAATAAAGCATGAGATAAAAACTGAGCAGAATTCTGACAATGTAGTTCAAATAAAACAGGAAATTGAAACTGAGCAGGATTCTGATAATTTAACTATGATAAATCAGGCAGTTAAAACTGAGCAGGAAGAAAACTTGAACGGTTTAATTTGCCCGAAATGTGAAGCCTATGTCTTAAATAATCATCGCTTCTTTGAACATATGAGAGAGCACCATGAAAACAGTATCAGTACAAATTTGAACTCTGATAAATTAATAAGTGCTGAATCAGAAGATCACACAAGAGAGAAACCGTTCAAGTGTAATGAATGCTCCTCATCTTTCTCTTATAAATCTAATCTCATAGCACACCAGCGTATTCACACTGGAGAGAAACCGTTCAAGTGTAATGAATGCTCCTTGACTTTCTCTCAGAAATCTAATCTCAGAACACACCAGCGTATTCATACAGGAGAGAAACCGTTCAAGTGTAGTGAATGCTCCTCAACTTTCTCTCGGAAATCTCATCTCAGAACACATCAGCTTATTCACACAGGAGAGAAACCTTTCAAGTGTAATGAATGCTCCTCATCCTTCTCTCAGAAATCTAATCTCAGAGCACACCAGCGTATTCACACAGGAGAGAAACCGCTTAAGTGTAATGAATGCTCCTCATCTTTCACTCAGAAATCTAATCTCAGAACACACCAGTGTATTCATACAGGAGAGAAACCGTTCAAGTGTAGTGAATGCTCCTCAACTTTCTCTCGGAAATCTCATCTCAGAACACATCAGCTTATTCACACAGGAGAGAAACCTTTCAAGTGTAATGAATGCTCCTCATCCTTCTCTCAGAAATCTAATCTCAGAGCACACCAGCGTATTCACACTCGAGAGAAACCGTTCATGTGTAGCGAATGCTCCGTATCTTTCTCTCAGAAATCTACTCTCACAAGACATAATCGTTGTCACACAAAAGAGAAACCTTTCAAGTGTAGAGAATGCTCCTTATCTTTCTCTTGGAAATCTAATCTCACAACACATCAGCGTATCCACACAGGAGAGAAACGGGAAAACCTTCAAGTGTAGTAAATGCACCTTAACTTTTTCTCAGAGTTTAAATCTAAAAACACATCAATGTATTTACATAGCATTGAATGATCCATTTATTTTTGATTTATTTATAATTAACCTAATCTACATTTTATGGCATTTCATTTATTATTTTTGATATTCATGCGTTTTCTTATTGAAAGTTTTTTCATTTACCATGACGATTGATTATAAATTGTTGTTGAACAATAAAGGGTATCAATTTGAATTAATAATAAGATTGGCATTATTTATCATTTGTCTATGTGAGTACTGAATACTTCTAAACAATAAAACTATTGCAGGATTATCATGTCAGAGCATAGTAACATATCCCCAACTGCAGCTGAAGAAATGTGTTATCAGGACTTTGACAATTCAACTCAGATAAAACAGGAGTCTATAACTGATGCTCAGTATTGTGACATTTCAACTCAAATAAAGCATGAGATAAAAACTGAGCAGAATTCTTACAATGTAGTTCAGATAAAATAGGAGATTGAAACTGAGCAGGATTCAGATAATTTAACTACGATAAATCAGGCAGTTAAAACTGAGCAGGAAGAAAACTTGAACGGTTTAATTTGCCCGAAATGTGAAGCCTATGTTCTAAATAATCACCACTTCTTTGAACATGTGAGAGAACACCATGAAAACAATATCAGTACAAATTTGAACTCTGATAAATTAATAAGTGCTGAATCAGAAGAAATGGTTAATCATCCAAGAACAACAACAAATGTGGAAAAGCCTTTTCAATGTAATGTTTGCTCCTATTGTTGCTCGTGCAAATCTTAACTTATTGCACATCAACATATCCACATGGAAGACAAACCTTGTAATGGATGCTCATCATCTTTTGCTGAGAAATCTTCTCTCACAAGACATAATTGTCTTCATACAGAAGTAAAACCCTTTAAATGTAATGAATGCTCCTCATCTTACTCTCAGAAATCTGAACTCAGAGCACATCATACAGGAGAGAAACCGTTCAAGTGCAGTGAATGCTCCTCATCTTTCTCTCAGAAATCTCATCTCAGAAAACATCAGCTTATTCACACAGGAGAGAAACCTTTCAAGTGTAATGAATGCTCCTCATCTTTCTCTCAGAAATCTAATCTCGTCTCACATTATCGTTGTCACACTGGAGAGGAACCTTTCAAGTGTAATGAATGCTCCTCATCTTTCTCTTATAAATCTAATCTCATAGCACACCAGCGTATTCATACAGGAGAGAAACCTTTCAAGTGTAATGAATGCTCCTCATCTTTCTCTCGGAAATGTACTCTCAGAAAACACCAGCGTGTACACACAGGAGAGAAACCTTTCAAGTGTAATGAATGCTCCTCATCTTTCTCTCAGAAATATGATCTCAGAGCACACCAGCGTATTCATACAGGAGAGAAACCGTTCAAGTGTAGTGAATGCTCCTTGTCTTTCTCTCAGAAATCTCATCTCAGAACACACCAGCGTATCCACACTGGAGAGAAACGGGAAACCCTTGACTAAGTTTAGTAAATGCACCTTAACTTTTTCTCAGAGTTCAAATCTAAAAACATATCTGCATCAGTGTATCTACACAGCATATGAATGATCCATTTTTGTTGATTTATTTAGATAATTAATTTAATCTGCATTTTATGGCATTTTATTAAAAGTTTTCGTATTTTATGTTATTTCTTTCAACATGACGATTGATTATAGATTTTTGTTGAACAATAAAGGGTGTCAATTTGAATTAATAATAAGATTGGCATTATTCATCATTCGTCTATGTTAATACTGAATACTTCTTTACAATAAAACTATTGCAGGATTGCCATGTCAGAGCATAGTAACATATCCCCAACTGCAGCTGAAGAAATGTGTTATCAGGACTTTGACAATTCAACTCAGATAAAACAGGAGTCTATAAATGATGCTCAGTATTGTGACATTTCAACTCAAATAAAGCATGAGATAAAAACTGAGCAGAATTCTGACAATGTAGTTCAGATAAAACAGGAGATTGAAACTGAGCAGGATTCAGATAATTTAACTACGATAAATCAGGCAGTTAAAACTGAGCAGGAAGAAAACTTGAACGGTTTAATTTGCCCAAAATGTGAAGCCTATGTCCTAAATAATCATCGCTTCTTTGAACATATGAGAGAACACCATGAAAACAGTATCAGTACAAATTTGAACTCTGATAAATTAATAAGTGCTGAATCAGAAGATCACACAAGAGAGAAACCTTTCAAGTGTAATGAATGCTCCACATCTTTCTCTTATAAATCTAATCTCATAGCACACCAGCGTATTCACACTGGAGAGAAACCGTTCAAGTGTAATGAATGCTCCTCATCTTACTCTCAGAAATCTAATCTCAGAAGACACCAGCGTATTCACACAGGAGATACACCTTTCAAGTGTAATGAATGCTCCTTATATTTCTCTCAGAAATCTAATCTCATAGCACACCAGCGTATTCACACAGGAGAGAAACCGTTCAAGTGTAATGAATGCTCCTTGTCTTTTTCTCAGAAATATAATCTCAGAGCACATCAGCGTATTCATACAGGAGAGAAGCCGTTCAAGTGTAATGAATGCTCCTTGTCTTTTTCTCAGAAATATAATCTCAGAGCACATCAGCGTATTCATACAGGAGAGAAACCGTTCAAGTGCAGTGAATGCTCCTCATCTTACTCTCAGAAATCTAATCTCAGAAGACACCAGCGTATTCACACAGGAGATAAACCTTTCAAGTGTAATGATTGCTCCTTATCTTTCTCTCAGAAATCTAATCTCAGAACACACCAGCGTATTCACACAGGAGAGAAACCGTTCAAGTGTAATGAATGCTCCTTGTCTTTTTCTCAGAAATATAATCTCAGAGCACATCAGCGTGTACACACAGGAGAGAAACCTTTCAAGTGTAATGAATGCTCCTTGTCTTTTTCTCAGAAATCTAATCTCAGAACACACCAGCGTATTCACACAGTAGAGAAATCCTTCAAGTGTAATGAATGCTCATCATCTTTCTCTCAGAAATTTAGTCTCAGTGCACACCAGCGTGTACACACAGGAGAGAAACCGTTCAAGTGTAGCGAATGCTCCTCAACTTTCACTCTGAAATGTCATCTCAGAGCACACCAAAGTATTCACACAGGAGAGAAACCTCACAAGTGTAGTGAATGCTCCTCATCTTTCTCTCAGAAATCTACTCTGAGACAACAGCAGCGCATTCACACAGGAGAGAAACCGTTTAAATGTAATGAATGCCCTTCATCTTTCTCTCAGAAATCTAATCTCAGAGCACACCAGCGTATTCATACAGGAGAGAAACAGTTCAAGTGTAGTGAATGCTCCCTGTCTTTTTCTCAGAGTTCGAAACTAAAAACACATCAGTGTATCTACACAGCGTATGAATGATCCATTTTTTGTTGATTCATTTAAATAATCAATTTAATCAGTATTTTATGGCATTATACATTTATTATTTTTTGATATTTGCGCTAAAAGTTTTTGTATTTAAAGTTATTTTATTTACCATGACGATTGATTATAAATTGTTGTTGAACAATAGATAAGAGGCTATAATTGGAATTAATAGTAATATAATAATATATGGCATTATTTATCATTTGTCAACGTGATTACCATACCTTGTCATAGAACATTTAAATATCTAAACTACCTATGTGATATCATCTAGTCTGAGTGCAAAATGAATAAATAGGTTTATTAGTTTTATAGAAATTTTATAGAAAGTTTATTGAAATTTCTATACATTACCAATTTTGTATCCTTGTATTCTGGAGATGTCCAACATATCTTGCATGAGTAATTTTCTCATTTTCTGGAAGGTGGATTTGCCACAACACGTTTTAATTTCATATATTTATTAATTTATCTATAAATATTTAAATCTATTAGAAACTAGTGATAACTGATAAACCTCTATACCCCCTCTATCTTACTGTTTATTTCCATATTTCTTTGTACACCCTTGAGACCCTTAAAATCTTATGAAGTTAGTTCTAACCACATCTTAAAACCTTTCTCTAAGGAAACTTTATTATTAAAGGATGGGGTCGATGGCTGACAGTTTATTTGAGTTCTTTCACTCCCAAATGATACTCTACTTCGAGGTAATTTGATTGTAATGCCTACATTGTAATCGTTATTTTGCCTCTTTCATTTCATTTACTCTAAACTTAGCAGCACATAAGTATTAAGTAGGTTACGCCGCTGTGTCCGCCATTAAGTTTTCAAATTATTGCATAAACCTTGATAAAACTTGTCCTCAGGAAACATTCGGTGAAGAGCAAATACAATACAATATGGAAAAAATAGGTTACAGAGTTGGGTTTAGCTTAGTTGAAAAAGCGACAAAGGAAGAGGCTAGGTTCAAGGAAAATGTAGAGATTGTGAAGTATATTTGCAAGGTGAATTACGGTCTTGTTTGGTGATTAACTGCTTGGATTATAATCATATTGGAAAGATTAAACTTGATATTCCTTTCGTGGTGATTTGAGATTTCATGTTGTACGGCTTTCAGATTATAAATATAGAAATACGTTATCTAACCCACTCATTTGTTCAGGATTTGTGGCAGATGTTGTTCAGAAAACAAGCAGACAATCTTAAGACAAATCACACAGGAACATTTGTGATACAGGACAACAGATTTAGGTTTCTCAACAGAGTCAGCCAGGTTAGTGACTCGCGGTAATCATTATCCAATAACAAATGAAATTGCGTGATTTTATTGAAACTTTAAACTAATTACAACACTACAGATATAATACATTTATGCTTTTATGGAGGAAGCGATGTAAGAGAGTCGACATACTTTAATGTTGCCATCAGCCATGGGCTGGCAAGTCCCCATTCATCGTAGTCCGATAGTTTCACTGCATCCTAATATCAAATAACCCTCAGTCTAAGCAGTACTTGGACAGAGGGCAGCAGTACGCAGCCTTCACGTGTGGTGTAGTTAGAGGTGCCCTTACTAACTTTGGTATGCCCTGTACCGTCACCTCGGAGGTAAGATTTATTGGTGGCCGTTTTTTTTGTTTCTAAATTTGATGTCTGACATTAAATACTCAATATATTTTATCCCTTGATTCTTGTTTTGATTCAAAATTTAAATATAGGTAGGTTTTTTGAACGACCCTCTCACTTTTTCAGGTGAACGTCAGTCCTACATGCAAGTTTCAGATATCTATACAGGGGATCAGCTGACAAGTTACCCCAATCTGTTCTTCAATTTAGATGTCAGATGATGTTGTTTTCGCTGAAAGGGTCTTCATTTAGATGGTGTGCGCACGCGCTACTCCAAAATTGTTATCAAAGCAACTCTATTTTTGCGCGAACAGTCCACGCTTTTTTGATTTGGTTATTATATTACATATTATATAGGTTGAGTATGATCGATTTAATTGAATTAATCTATCGATCGAACGATCGTACCCTTGCGACTTGACAAGTCGGACTTGTTCGATGACCTGAGCGATCGTATCACTATGGCTTTGATTTCTGCTGTCGTGGTTACTATGTAATAGTCTTCATCTTCCTATGATTGTCTCTGAATCTCACCGCTTGTCACTAAGAACTGATTTTCCACATTGAAGTAATTATGAAAATATTGATTATAAATGTTAATAAGTAGAAGTTTTCCTCGGATTCAAAACATGAACTTGTGACGTAGCCTCTAAGGTAAGATTTTAGTAATTACGGTCGATATAATTTGTGCATAACACTAGAAGTGTACAGCTGTGAATAGAGCCACCATTTCATGATGTCCGAGGTGTATACTGCAACTGGACTATTTATATCTTGTGCAGGTTTCACTGCTGAGAACTGCGTGTATCAGCGTATTTACTTAGATTAGTTGATATTTTGTTGAGGTTTGTTTATGTTACGATGATGTTTATTGTATTTTGATCAATGTGACTGATGTAATAGATTTGAATCATTTAATTTTCTTCCGTTTAATCGAATCTGAAAACAAAACACAACACACTACACGTTCTTTCGTGAGTAAACGAAAACTTTTATGTTTTTGAAACTGTTCATAGAATCTTATTTTGTTTATACTCCGTCTACAGTCATACGATTTTTATCGAGATTTTATCTGCATTTAACTCTGGATTTCACTTTTATAGGATGTCAATAGCCGAAGTAGTGTTTGTTTTAGGACCTCCTGGGGCTGGTAAAGGGACACAGTGCACCAGAATCAAAGACAGCTTTGGTTACATCCATCTCTCAGCAGGTAGCTTCTCTTTTTAACGCGTGTAACTGTAAGCGAATCTGTTTCTCTTTTTATAACTTAGCCAGTTGACGTGATTCTCGAGAGTGATTTCCGATGCCGTAACCTGACCGGGTAATCGCTGTCACGTGTCATAACATTTTTACTTCTCCCCAAAAACAAGGGCCAACTTTCACTAAAATTTCAACCTGCACCCATTATTGATGTTCTATTTTCCAGACTTTCATGTTTAAGAATAGACTTTAACACTTATACACTAGACTATCCAGTATAAGTAACAGGATATGCTGCTCGATCCCTTTTAAAACCATTACTAATTAATAAAGACAATATCATTCCTGCCAGGTGATCTGCTGAGAGCGGAACAGAAGGCGGGGTCTGAAGATGGAGAACTGATCAAAGACTTTATTAAAGAGGGCAAGATTGTCCCGATTGAGATTACCATCAGGCTCCTTGAGAAAGCAGTTGTAAGGTCAGTTTGCTTCAGATTACTAAATATAGCCAAGTCATCCTCACTTCCCCAAGCAAAACAGTTACTAGAAAGTAGAAACGTTTGAATGATATTGCGTTCTGTTATGATTAGATTCCCCTGATATGATTATTACTACTAATATGTCCCTAATGATTACTACTATACTAATAATATATTAATCCAGTGCTGGAGCCACTAAAGTGCTAATAGACGGGTTCCCAAGAAACAAGGAGAATCTGGACGGCTGGGAGAAGGAGATGGTGGAGACTGGGAAAATGCACACCAAGTTCATGTTGTACTTCGAGTGCGCTGAGGAGGAGTGTTTGAGCCGAGCTATGGGACGCAACCAAAATAGGTTCTTTTTCATCTCTTGTTCCCTGATTTTATAAACAACACTGGAATACTCTCTTGAAGATTACGATAGATTTTTAGATTCTGTTTTATTATTATTTGAGTTAAAACAAGCCACGTCTTTCCGCAGAGCTGACGACAATGTTGAGTCGTTCAAGAAGCGCATAGCGACCTACACCTCCTCCACAGTCCTGGTTCTGGAGGAGTTCAACACTCGGGGTCTCCTGAGGAAGGTGGACGCTAATGGTTCTCCCGATCAAGTGTGGGACCTTACTCGACAGTTGTTTCTGGTAAGAATTGGATTTTATCTGCAGCGCTGTGTTAACAGCTGAATGCTGCTGTCCGCTTGGATTGATGTGAGCGGATAAATTATACTGATTACTTAATCATGTTATCATAACTAACTCAACATTTTCTATTTAACGACTGTTCAAAATAGGTAATACGACTATCTTACTATATATAAAGCCAGACGATATATATATATATATAGCCGTACCATTTTACTCACACCACGGCATCAACTTTAACGCGACTTTCCGCAAAAACTGTAAAAGATATACAAATAAAACCTTTTTGACTGGGTCAAATGCTTTAATGGCCTCCAAATCAGCATGAAAAAATAAAAATTGGCCAAGGAATAGGAGTTTTAGAGCCCAAAGTGGTGTCAAAAACGCGAATTAAATAGGTAACAATTTTTTTTTTTTTTTTTTTTTTTTTTTTTTTTTTTTTTTTTTGAAAACAACAAATTTTTATTTAAATCAATTATAGCAACAATTTGAAAAACTTTAAAGCTCTTCTATCACCATGGAATATACTACGGGTATGGTGACTTGGGCTATTGAGTTGTTAAGTAGATTAAGATTAGTAAACCTGCACTTGCATTGTATATTTTATAAAAACTAGAAATTAGGCTTCACGGTAAAATGGAGAAGCAGGCTGATCTTGGAGAGAGCAGACCGTAAAGTTTACGCACCCACCAGGGCTACCTACCTACCCCAGTTGTTCTTTTTGGTTTATCAGCTTGTATTGTTATATTTATGGACCCCAAGTCACCACACTAAGAAGGAGTATGTAAAAAAAAAAATAATAATTATAAATTAAGTTAATATCATCATATCTGTTTAAAACAGTAAAAGTCAAGTTGAGGATTGACTTTCCTAGTTAATTTAAAGGTTCAAACGTTTGGGAATATAATAATGTTGGTATTTGTATCTGCTGCAGCAATAATATCGAAATATCATTTGTCTAGAAAATTTTCGCCACTTCAATAGATATTTGGTCGGCAATTTGGTGAGTGAGTGATGAGATGGTTAGGTCTGTGATTGAGTGAGGGGCGATGTGAAAGTTGTGGTAAGTCCAGGTGTTATTATTGTTGATGGATTGAGATCCCAGGATGATACTTTTACAGCGTAATTTAACCAAAGATACAGAAGTAGTGAGGATTTCCCCATTCTCATTTAGAATCCGTTTATGTATGCTATTCCACAATTTGGAGGCTATATAAAGAAAAGTGTTGGTTTTTCTTGGGAGGATTATGACATTGCTTGTATCACGTTTTGATGAGTCTATAGTACAATACAACGAGTATGGAGTGCGAAATTTCATAATTCGAAATATCTCAGATATACAGTGGTATTTGTACAAGTTTTGAACAGTAAGCAATTTTAGTCGATTAAAAATGGGCTTGGTGTGCTCTTTTTCGAAAAAAGCAGCTCCTAACCTCTGTTTTGTATAAGGTCTGGCTCGTGCACAAGTGGCATGTTTGTCGAGGTATGCATTTAGGTCTCCAAAAAGGATTCTTATACAACGTTTCTGAGTTATGAACAGCTTATCGTTTGGTTGGTCTTTGAGAGCTGAGCCCCAAACACTTATTCCGTAAGCAAGATGTGATTCCAATAATGCAGAGTATATTTTTTGGTAGTGTTCCCCTGGAACTGAATGTTTAATCCTGTTAAGTGCTCCTGTAGTGGATCTAATTTTTTTTCTTAGATATTCTATATGTGGGCCCCAGCTAAGTTTTTCATCAATTACTACACCAAGAAATTTGGTGTTGCTAACCTTGACAATTTTGTGTCCATTTATAAATATTCCTTGTGATTTGTCATGTTCATTGGCATACGGCCTAACCCTGGCGCAGGTTTCATCAGATTCGTATGCAGGTAGAAAATGTATGTAGCAGCATTTAGACATATTTATATGTAAGAGATTACTTCTCATGAATTTGCATACGAAATCAAGAACTTTATTGGCCTTCAAGTATGTTGCTTCTTTGGACGGTCCAGTGATAAATATATTTGTGTCATCAGCATAGAGCACAAATTTGCATTCATCGCCTTTGTAACAGTTTATTATGTCGTTCATATATAATAAGAAAAGTAGAGGGCCTAGTATGGAACCTTGGGGAACTCCATATTTTACATTCATAGTCTCTGATGTAGTGTTGAGAAATGAAACATACTGTGATCTATCGGATAAATAGCTTTTTAGAAGTCCTAGAGCTAGACCTCTAACCCCATAATTTTCCAGTTTCCTCAGGAGAATGCCATGGTCAAGAGTATCAAAAGCTTTGCTTAGGTCAATAAAGATTCCTAGAACATGATTACCACTGGATGTTGATGTTGTGATTGAATGAACTGATTTGTGGAGTGCATGTGAGGTTGAGTGGCCTTTTCGAAAACCAAATTGTTCATTACTGAGAATGTCATTAGCAGTGAAAAAGGTATAAAGCCGTTTGTATATTATTTTTTCAAATATTTTACCAAAGATTGGCAATATTGACACAGGTCTATAATTTTCAATATTTTCTTTATTATCTTTTTTATGGATAGGAGTTACTTTGCCTATTTTGAATATGGATGGGAACGTGCCTTTTTGAATACATGTATTATACAAATTTGCTAATATGTTGGATAAGAGATGAGCCGGTTTCTTGATAACTGCTATTGGTATATCACTGGCTTTTCCGTTAACGAATTCTTGAATTATTTCAAGAATCTCCTCAGGATGAGTTTCTTCTAGATGTATTGAACTGTTGACTGATTTCGACATAAACTCAACAAATGATTGCATTGGTTGGATAGACAGTTGGTTCTCGGACAAAACCTTCTCATTTAAATTACTAGCTAAAGATGTAAAGTAACTATTGAA